GATGAGTGTTTAGCAAGCTCTACCAGCGTGCATTAGAATAATTTCCATGAAGGATTAAAATGAATCATATAATATTAATGAAATTAGGTTTAATGAAAAGAGTTAATTAATCCCTTGTGATATGGAAAACCAAAATTTAAGTTTTCATTTGAAGAGATATCTACATTTAGTACATGATTATATTTTGAATACAACTATCTTTATATAAGGATATATGTAGATAACAAAAACAAAAAATTTCACTCCCCGGCTCAGCTGCATTTTCTTCCAAATTATAAAAAACGCCATATTTATGAGGATTTAGAATACAAGCGTACTCCAAAAACACAAACCCACTCTCTCTCTATGTATATTTATTGATGAATAAAATTTGACGATGAATGTGCATTTAAGAATAATAATTACCACCTTTTTTTTGCACGTGGGTGATCTGTACTCAAAAGAGTAACGACTTTTTTTTTTTACCCGACTTTTTAAAGTAACTTTAAAATGTTACTTAAAAAATTAACTTAACTTCCCAAAACTAATAGTGCCCCCTACAAAATAAGGCATATATGGGGTACGCTGCAGATGCCAGAGCGTATCTTCTTCTTCTTCTTCTTCTTCTCTGTTTTTTTTTAGTTTTCTTGTTTCATCAATTAATTAAAGTGAGTAGTTAATTACACGAGAGCTGCGCAAGTCTGACGACGCAGACTCATACCTGCACTCGGTAGGTACACACACACACATAGAATCCAGGTACGCTGTGTCTTGTTCGTTCAGCATTAATCGATCAATATCCAATGTGTATCACTGTACTCCCTCCACGTGGTCCTTGTTATGCAACATATTTTATAAAGATCCTTTTTCAGTTTATTTAATATTATTTTTTTATTTCCATTTTTATTGTACCTTTAATTTCATGATTTATTATAATATTGCATATCCCTCTCTTCTTAATTTTTTTTAATAGCGACGAATTAAAAACCTATTTTAATTTGAAAACACATTGAACAAATTAACTGGCATTTTTTTTGATTCTAGGCCCATGCAGAAAGTGGAGTGTGGGAAGAGGTGATAATAAACACAAGAATCCGAAGAGAGGAATTAATGGAGGAACCTAACGAGGAGTAGACAGGGAAGAAGAAGAAGGGAGTTTGATATCTGCAATAAAGAGATGAAATGACATGGGAAGCTGTCATGTCCACTCCCTCGGACTCTGAGTGACCCCTTCTTAGCATAACGTAGATATATGCACCGGACCGCTCCCTCATGCTTGGGGATATGTGTCCTACATCTTGGACCCCCCCTCCCCCTTTCGCTATTATGTATTAACTCTTCCTTTAATTCTGCCACCTAACCCCATGTTTACATACATTTTTATTGCTCTTCTATCTTTTAACACCTCTCCTGTGGTTCTATTGCCATCGTCATCTGGCTTATTACCAGACAGCACCATATAGCTTAATTTTCCATTATTAGACAGCTCTTGCGTATCCAATAAAACATGCACTAACACACGTTCATCTTAATAGAAGTGGTTATAAACGCTTAGGTGTAAGGTTTTGGATTTGAATCCATGATATTTTGAGGCAGCTATCTTTAACTGAACACTATATTGAGTAAAACACAAATGATTACTTGGGGTCCGAGACAGTCATATATCAACGGTTAACTGATGTACTGATTGCTCGCAATATTTAAATTCATGAATGAGGAAGTTGAGGTAAATAGGAGGCTGGACATTCTAATTAACTGGATCTGGCTTTGATTAACGTGACTTTCTGTCCAAACAAACGAAATTGTCTTAATAATTTTGATTGATTGAATATGATTCAAAGCTCCCATTTTGTATGTTCTCAATTGGCCCCCGTATTGACTTCGTCATTATTTATTCGTTAAGACGTCTATTCTCTTTTATATGATCTAAGTGGAGTGTTATTAAGCTAGTTTATTGTGGGGCGTTTGATTTAATTGATCAAACAAGTTGAATCAGCTAATCTCAAAGTACATAGTTCAAGTCATACAATATATAGTTGCATTAAATAAATATATCAGAAACATTTTCAAAGTATTGAGGTTTTTCTATGATACTAGATGACATAATTAAAAAAACTAATTATAAACTAACAAATTAATATAATTATCTCATAAATTAAATTATCCTTCCCTCTCATGAACATAACTAACTTATCTTTGTTCCACACTTTAATCGCTTTATTTTTGCTATTATTTCTTTAATCCATTACGCTCCCTTCCTTTTCAGTGACCATAAATACTGCCCCTAATTGAATTCCTGTTAATCTTGCTTGGTGTCCATTAAATTACTCTTGAGCTTCAAGCTTAAGTCTGATGTGGAGTCTCAGATATTGATTTAGTTATTAAACGAATTAATAAAATTATGAGATAACATTTAAAAAGCATAGAAATGTTTATATACATTAACTATGCACGCTACTGACCAACCAAAGTCGGCCATTGACTTTTCACTCTCTAATTAAAAATGTTATTTATAACCTTTATAATTAACACAGCCGAATTCACATTCACACGCACACGCACACGCACACGCGCACACCGAGTTTAAATACTGATTGAACATTTTTTTAATAAATAAATAAAAATTAAATTTGTTTTTTTATATTAATAATAAAAATATTCAAGTTGGAATGTTGGATAATTGAGAATATTGGAGGCAGCAAAAAATTTTAAAAACAAAGGGGCAAAAAAAAAAAAAAAAAACCGAGAAAACGAGAGTCATAGGATGTCCGTACGGGAGGCAGGTTCAGCAGTTGCCTGTAAAGGGAACGTCAAGTTCAATTGATGAGAATTCAACGCTTTCCCACTTGCATTGGCTATGCCGCGGCTTTCACTTCAGCCAGCTCCTCTCCCTCCTTTCTAACCAATTTTAATTTTGCCAAATGGCCTTTTTAATACAATTTAATTCTGTATGCCCCCAGCAATTATTATTAGCGAAAAATGAACCCAAAAGTAATGTTGAGTTTGGTTTTTCAAAAAAAAAAATTGTCATTTTATTATGAGAACTTTCCTTACTTAACTAACCCGGGATAAATGAATGAGGGGAACACATATGCATGCCAGCGATCCCCCCCCCCCCCTTTTTAACCATTCTTTCGTGTAGCTTTGAATTTTTTCAATGCCCAATCCTCAATAGGCTTCAACTTTCTTCTACAATTGTTTAAATATTTGAATATTGACTAATGATTTTTCAAGTAGGCAGTTAGATTTTTGAATGTGAAATTGCCTGTGTAAGATACATTTATGGGTTATGCGATTTTCTTGAAATGTTTTCATCTTATTCTGAAAAATTTGCAAGGTACATATTTTTTTGGAGTAAAATGAAACAATTTTCCTGAAAAATCAATCTTGCTAGCAATTTTTTGTTTTTTTCCCGAAGAACCAAACTGAGTATCACCGGGCTCTCGAATTCATTTTTCACTTCTTAATTTTTTCTTCTCAAGTTACTTGAAGCGCATTTTTATCTTTTCATTTATAGATATATTGACACCAAAGGACCACCGACGGATGTAATGAGTTGATAGGACCTTAGAATTATTGCCTAATTATTTGGGTCTCTCCTTCTCCCCGACTTCGAGTAGCATGAAAACTTTGACTGAGTAAACTCAGATACGGTGAACATCGATAAAAAGTTACCCCTACACTTGTTCTAGGTCATTCGTAATTGATTGTTTTCGTGCACGTGAAACAACATATAATACGAGCCAACACCCACAGTAATAAATAATTAACGTGGTTAAACAAACGACTGCACGTACATCCATCATGATGAATGCAGTGGCCAGGTTACGTTGTCTTGGGACGTTGAATTTCTGCCACAAGTTTTTTTGCATCCGTCCTTCTCTCGTCATCTCACAGTTTGAGCCTTCATTAATCGGTCCCTCCCTATGTTTTTATTTTTTTAATAAATTATTGCAAAATATTGTTTGTTAGAGAACCTAGAAAGGATGTGCTAAAACTTGTAATAAGTCTCAGTTTTTTCTTAAATACACCCTCAAAGAGAAAAGCAAAATCTAGTCGACAGGTAAAAATTTCCTATTTTAGTTTTTGTCTCGGTTAAATATATACCAACTTTTCTTCTATTTTTATAATACACACACACCCCAACTTTGGAAAGTGGGGGTAAATAGTTATAATCTCTACTCTTATTTGGAAAGAAGGAGTAAATAGTTACAATCTCTAATTTTATTTATAATTTACTTATAACACATTTTGCTAAAACATAAAAAAATTAAATTTTATTAATTTTATTTTAACATTTAATAAGTTTCCATCCCTCACCTTGATAGTTGATAAGGATAAAAATAATTATTTTTAATAATTTGTTAGCATTTAACGAGGGCAGAAAAGAAAATATGAACATAAAAAAATAATAAAGTATCATATAAATAAGATTAAAGTTAATCTTCTCTCTCATCATGTAAGTGGGACCAAAAGAGTATTAAGTAAGTCATGTAACTATAATATTTTATAAGGGATATTTTGGAGGAAAAAGTTAATTACACCTAAGACCGAAGGGTCTAGAAATTCGTTTTAAATTTAAGTTTTAACTTAAGTTCGCAAATCCAACTCTAAGAAAGACCAAATTGACTCTGAGTGTTTTAATTAAACCCAAATTTGAATTTTTTGAATTGGAATCTAATCAATATGCACTAATTCGTTGAGGTGCTGTTCTAACTAAAATTTACACAAATTAACTGGTATACAAGAAACGGTGCCTGTAGAGCTAGACAAATGTGATTCTTGATAGTATATAGAGGAAAAGTACTCTCTATGATTAAACACAGTGCAGGCACATTTGTGGCAACATGAGAGGGATTGAAAGAGAAGACAATAACAGTGGGAAGGAAAGAAGAAAATAAGAATAATAATAGAATGTAAAGTGTAGTGGGACTTGGGAGAAACAAGTTCAGCAAGAACAATAAATGAAAGTGTGAAGGTCTATTAAGAGGATTTAGGTGACCATGTTTAATGCTCTTTGCACCATTAATCTCTCCGTTCGCCGACACTGTGCACTTCCTGCCCTCTATATCTTCCTTCCCACTCATCCCTTCCCTGTTGCTTCTGTACTTTCCTCTCTTTTCATCTCTCTCTCCCACATCTCCATCATGGTGCATTCAAGGAAGTTCAGAGGTGTCAGACAGCGTCATTGGGGCTCTTGGGTCTCCGAAATCCGCCACCCCCTCTTGTATTATTCATTTATTCTATCTCACTTCGTCTTCTCGCTCTTTTGATCCTTTCAATTTTGTTTATGTATTTCAATGTTGTTGTTGTGCTGCGTCCAGAAAGAGGAGGGTGTGGCTGGGGACGTTTGAGACGGCGGAAGAAGCGGCGAGAGCGTATGATCAAGCTGCCATTCTGATGAGTGGCCGGAATGCCAAGACCAATTTCCCGATGTCACAGACTCCGGACGGCGATTCCAACAAGGCGGCTGGGGCGGCCAGGGATCTCGAGGAGATCCTGCACGCCAAGTTGAGGAAATGCGGGAAGCTGCCGTCGCCGTCCATGACGTGCCTGAGGCTGGACACCGAGAACTCCAACATCGGAGTGTGGCAGAAACGCGCCGGCCAGCGTACCGATAACTCCAATTGGGTGATGACGGTCGAGCTGGGGAAGAAGGCCGGAAGTGATAATCATAATAATATCAATAACAGCAACGGTAATGGAGTGGAGAAAACGACGACGTCGTCGTGGAAGTGCTCTGAGTCTGCAATCTCATCGGGAGGGCCGGAAGTGACGATGGGAGGTGGAGGGTTGAACGAAGAAGAAAGAATTGCACTGCAAATGATTGAGGAACTGCTCAACAGAAACTGTCCAAGTCCTCCGGCACCTTCATTTGATCATCATGGTCTGGTTGAAGAAGACAACCATGCTCATGGCGAAAGCTTTCTCTTTTGACTTTATTCAACAAAAGTTAAGGTGGGTGATTAATTATTTTGGCTAATTTCTTATCAATATTAATTTCCATATATGCATTGGTATAATGGTACAATTTATAGCTATCCCCTGAGGGGAAGGGAGTGATTATCACTTGTTATCATGATTGACAAGACAAGGATGTGAAATAATCTAGTTAGACATTCTACAGAAGCAGAATAAGGCACACAGATATATATATATATATATATATATGGATTCGTGTTTGTTTGTAAACAGAATTACACAGATGCTGTCCCACTGCAATTGTACGTACGAGGAGCAGAATAAACAGAAATTATACTCAGATTCAATCCAGTTGCAACTGTACGTACATTAAGAAGGCACTCTCATGGTGAATATAAAGCAGGACTATATACACTATATATGAAAATCATTCCTATCTTTTTATATTTCTATGTTCTTGTCATTTAATTTTTCTCTCCCTCTTGGTAACCTATGGCACTCTCTTCTAATTTTCTTAGTTATAGGTAACGTAAATACATGATGGCTATATATTTGAAAAGTTCAGTTAGTAAAGGCGAGGTACGTAATTCGTAGCAATTTAAAGTTTAAATAATGATATCATATGACTACAAAAAATGACAGCACAGTGTTGCACATCGTTTTACAGGGGCACGTTGACAACTCAAATTTATACATATCAACTTGTTTTGATATTTTCTATTAACTTTATTGCTTGAAAATTTCGTCTCTTCAATCTTCGTCAATTCTGTATGTGGTAAAGGGAGAATTTCTTCGAGTTCGCAATGGAACGAACCCCAATTTGCGAATTGCGGTTAATTGTGTTATGCGATGATTTTTTTTTTTTTTATCATCAAGATTAACTTCCGTGATTAGAAAAGTAATACTAATATGGAAGAATACTTTTTAAAAGTTTATAAAGCATATCGGATTACATAAATTTTTGACATTAAGACAAAACTTGAGCGAATATCAAAAACTAAAGGCAGATTTTTTTCACCTTTGTTTCTATTTTTTTATTAAGACCTTCGGTTCTATTATTAATTATGCTTATAAATAACTATTTTTTTCAATCCTCGTGCGATGCATATTAGTGATTAGGATGTATAAGTAAACCACGACTTATTTTATTTTAGAATGAGTTAACTAAATATAGACAACAATTTGTTTAATCTATAACGATACTACAAAAAGGATTTTTAACAATAATTATTTTAAAATTTTTGCAACAGTTATTAGTGGAAGTAAAAATAAGAGTAGTGAAAAATTAATTTTTTACGTCGGTTATTTATATAACTGACATGAAAAGTATTTAACAAACAAACAAAACTAATGGTTATGGAAAAAACTGTTGTTATTATGAAAATTTTTTTCACTATTCTTTTGTAACCTCTGTTAAAAGTTTATTTTAAAAAAAATATTTGTTTTTCTGTGCATTCAAAACTTAAAACCTGTAAATTGTATAATTTATACAACAAGTATAAACAATCATTTAGCAAAATCACAATGATTATACAATAAGTTACAATTACACTGAATATATATATTTATAAAATAAACTAATATAATATTTTCTCTATATAACTGATATGTTAATCCATATATACACACATATATTTGTTCAAATATGAAAAAAATATAAAAATATGTAATTAATCCAAGATCAGTAACAGTGTTAACTAAATCAATCAAGCAATCTAAATACTTAAATATAAAAATATTCAATTAAATCAATTATTATGAAGTATAAATTTGATAATTAAAATAAAGATTTGAAAGCACAAATTCATCTATTAAAACACTCAATTGTACAAATATTCAATTAAATTAACCAATCACAATACCAATATGTAGTAAGAAATAAATGCTTATAGTAGAACAGTTAGCAAAATCTCTCTAATGGGGGAGGAAGATGAAATATGAGTAACACCCACATCTGTAAGTTGAAATAGAAAAGAGAAGACTACAAGTGGAGAACCTATGTACTGATAGCCACCAACGCACCCCCTATGACAAACCACATACCACTTATGGATGAGAAACGTGTTAAAAATAAATGAGAAATGAAAACATGCATGCGTATGGAACCTAAATAGCGATTGTGAAAGTGAAGGGCAACTATAAAATAGTGACCGATGGGACTTCAGACGGCGGTAGGAGTAGAAAGATGGAAGCTTTTAGTAAAAAATGAAGAAGAAGAGATAAGAGAAGAGTTACATCATGAATTTAAAAAAGTTGAGGAAAAATAGATTTATTAGAAGAGTTGCGTCTATGGCTTTTCAAATATTAAATTGAGACACAATATCAATTATTTTGTTTACGTTAATTTTTTAGAAAATTGATGTGAAAAATATTTCAAAAAATAACAAAATTGCCATCACTTTTTTATTACTTAATTTTTTTTTAAACAGAGATAAATCAGTGGCATTAAAAATTATTTTTGTAGTAGCGTAAGCTGTTATACATGTACAAATTAATATTTAGAACATATGTTTGGGTTCTATAATTAGTTTCTGCTTCCACGGTGTGTCAACATCTTGTTTTGTTTTAGATTTTTTTTTGCCAAAATTATTTTAGACTTTGTTAAATATCCACATTTAGAATATAAATAATAATTTATTTTATTCTCATACAAATTATTATATAATTTTTATTGCAAATTAAAATCTAAACAACAATTTGTTATCACGTTATATTAAAAACTTAAATGATATATTTTGATTGAAAATTTGTTACCCATGTGCTCTGTGTATTATTATTTTTTAAAAAATCGAAAGATAAATCATAAAGTACATAAATAAAAATATGTTGAAATGATGTCATAAAATTTAGATAATAATTCATTCTATTTTATAATTTATTACCCCATGTATGTTTAAAAATTAGACAATCAAAATTTATTATCCCATGCATATATGTTAAAGATATAAAAATAACATGTGCTAGTTTAAAATTTATTAAATTATGCACAGAAAAAATTTAAAATACACATTAGGAGTAAATAAAAGAAATTTATTTTATTTATAATTACAATTTGTTATTGTGTTTCAATTAAAATTCCAAACAACCAAAAAAATTCACTCAAATATACATCTAAGTTTTTGAAATTTTTTAGAATTAAATTTACAATTTCATTGCAAATTATATGGCCACTTTTATTTCTACTGCAGGTTTCACATTTAGCACTTTTTTTTTTAAAAAAAAAAAGCAATGGATCATTGGATTTCACGTCCCTTTTTTGCGAATGCGAACCCACGCTTTCACGATAGGGGAAAAGAAAAAGAAAAAGAATACACAATACCAACGGACTACATTTACAATAGGTGTTATTGATATTGGTGATTGATATATAATTATATATTAGATATGAGAAAAAATTTAATTTTTAGTTTTTATATTTTATTTATGTTTTGTTATTGATTTTTTTTATTTTTTTTAATATTTTAAATTCTTGTACTTTTATTTTTTATTATTTTAAGTTCCTATATTCTATTAATAAAGAAATTTAAAATATTAAAAAAAGTGCAGAGATTAATAATAAAATATGAATAAAATATAAAAATTTAAAATTATATTTTTTTTAAATGTTAAAATAAAGTGGAAACATGAGCAACATTGTTGATGCAGATGCTCAACTGACCATAACGCCCATAATAAGACAACAATGTAGCGATCTTCTATAAGTACCGTTTTATCCTGCTTCCACGTCGTCTAAAAGAAGCAGCCTGCTTGAATAAAATTATATCATGACTTTTTTTTAATATTAATATATTCCTTTCATTTTAAATTATATAATATTTTTAAAAGAGTTTTTTATCTCAAAATATGAAACCTTTTAGATAGATTAAAAATTTGTTAATGTATTAATTTTAATATTATTATTTCTCTTTTTATAATTAATTTTCATTCTTTCTCTTTTTAATATATTAAATTATGAATGTTTTTAAAAGTTTATATTTTTATTTTAAAAATATATTATTGTTAAGTGTATTTAATAACATTTTTTATATGTAAAATTTTATCTAAAATTATCTTATAATTTAAATCAGATGGAGTATCTATTGAGTACATTTAATTTAAATTTGGGAGAATCATATTCAATGATCTTTTAAAAAAATTATTTACAAATAAAGATCAATAATAATAAGTCACCATTTAGGAAAAAAAATAAGTTGTTATTACCATTTTAATAACAAATAATTCTAGATCAGTCCTTGTTTGCTAATAATTCTCTTATGAAATCTTTATATATGATTCTCCCATTAAAATACTTGTTGGCTGACATTGTTTAGATTAGAAAAAAATTAGGTGAGTTAGGTCGTAGAGCTCGTTGGGAACATGACATGCCTTCGAAGTTAAAAAGCATTTACAAATATATTTATAGGTAAATCATTCACCAAAAATTTTTCACATTTGTAGCAAGGCTTGATCTCACGGCCCTGTGAATTATGGTCTACTATTCATCATTGTCATTTTTATTTTGGCTACTCATTATATTCTTATAGTAGAGGTAATGTTATTTAAGATACGATCAAGTATTAAATATGAGCATCTCTTCAAGTGGAATTCATCATTGATTTTATTAATAAAAGTTAAGATAATACTCTCTTCAATAATATTTCATCATAAAATATTATTAAGCTTATTGTATATTAAAATTTTATAAAATACATGTGATTCCTTTTAAAAAGGGTAAAATAATAAATTGGCCTCTATAAATTATAAGTTTAGGAGTATTTTGAATCTTAAACTCATCTTTTGTACAATATTATTCCCTTCCAATTGTTGAAAAGGTGTAATTTACCTCATAACATTAACAAAATAAACTTTGATCATTACTTGACCAAAAATGATAAAAAAGGACATAGAAATTATGAAAAATGACCAACAATTTTTTCTTTATCCGTTTCTGTAATTTATATATCCCTACTTATAACTTTAAGATTATTTACTATCATTTTTTATAATTTTTATGCCGTTTTTTATATTTTTTTATCATTAATTTTTTTAATGGCACAGGCCAAATTGCGTCACTTGCAAATGTTAAAAAAACAATATTTCACAAAAAATAGATTTAGTATCGGATACGTTATTGGGTCTATTGTCTAAAGGCTAATATTCTCTTTCATCCTTTTTTTATTTTCTTTTTAAAAATGCTCTTGTTTCTATCTTTCAATTTTGCTCTCAACCCACAGCGAGTGTGCCAACCAAAGGGTAACTTTGAAAAGTTGTTGTAAATATTTTTCACATTTAACTAATGATAACCAATTTCTTTAATTTTATTGAAATAATTAAATAATATGACATTATAAAAAGGCGGGGAGGGAATAAAAAGAAAAGTAAGGCCTTACTAAAATTCTGAAATGAAGTTATTTAAAAATAAAAATTTAAAACTATATTTTTTATTGGAAGCAAGGTAATAATTCTC